AACACTATTACCAATTTATCACAACAATTCTTACAAGTTTATATTTCTACCATATTAAGTACCTTAAATTAATTATATAAGCTTCCAAGAATATTATCATACTATGTGAACAAAATACACTATTGGATGGATCATGATTTTAGGAACTCAATAAAACTGGTTTCACTATTTTTGGATAACTACACAATTTTATATTTAAACAACAAAATCCGCTAAGAATTTATATTAGGAAACCTACTCTAATTCACTAGAAAACAGGAAATAATACCGCGGCCCATGGCAGGCAAGCCGGCTCGGCCCATAGGCGCGTGAGCGGCCTACTTGCTAGGCGCGACCTAGGCCTGCGGCCCAACAGACAGATGAGCGGTGGCCAAAGGCGAGACGAGCGCAGGCTGCTGTGGCCAAAGGGGAGCTGGCGCCCACACACAGACACGCACGCGCCCAGCCCAGCGGCGGCACAAGCCGGCCCAAGCATCGTGGTATGAACCTAACGCGATCGGCGGCAGCAAAGCGGCCCAAATCGCTGCCCGCCCCTAAACCACCAAAGCGATTTTTGCAAAAAAACGTCCCTGCATTTTCTCGAAACTAACCCGCAGGACATAAGCACTATTTACTCGTGTCACGTATTTTGCGATAAGAACCCTGTACAAAAATTTGGCTTGGATTCATACCCTCCGCACCTTTTCCTCTCCCACAAAAACAAAGCACGGCAGGAAACACCGGCCGACGGTGAGCGGCAGCGGTGGCGGTGCCGCTGCGGGGCGCGGTGACTGCCACGGGCGGACCCCTCGGCACCGGGCGGACAAGGAGCGCCCCCCGGCTAGGCCCCGTACATGTCGGGCAGGGCACAGCTGCCCGGCTGCATGCGCTGCACAGCGAAGGCCCGAGCAGGGGCCACGGCGGCGCTGGGGCGACGGCGGGCGTAGGACGCACGCGTGGGCTGCCATGGTGGTGGTGCGGCGTAGTGCGGCGCAGCGGATGGAACGGCGCCCGACGGCGTTGATGGCGGTGCCAGGGAGCATGGTGCACGGCAACACGGACGCGGCCATGGCGTGCGCTGACACGCCGAGACCAGCTGCGGGAGGCGATGGAGCGGCGCGGGCCATGATGGGGCTCAGCACGGCGGCGTAGGGGAGGCTCGAGACGAGCGGTCGTGGAAGGGAAATCGGCGCTGCGGCAATGGGACGCGCCGGCAGCAAGACAACGACGTGCGTGCGGGTGGCTCGGGCGACTGCGGCGGTGGCCGAGCACGGGAGTGGAGTGGCACGGACGCCGGGGTACCGAGCGGGCATGGCACGGAGGCCGGCTAAGGCAAGCTGGGAGGGAAAGCGGCACGGGCGAGCGAGAGGAAGGTGCGGAGCCGCGCACGGGCTCGGGCGCACCTTCACGCGTGGTGCCGGGCAATGGCGATTGCGGCCTCCAGAGGCGTAAGCAAGCAGCAAGAGAGAGCGAGGAGGACGAGCAGAGCTGGGACGGCTCCCCTCGGTAGCAGAGAAGAAAAAGGGAGGGGAGGCAGGACTAACTCGAATTGATTGCGACGACTGAGCAACTGTGGAGCAAGGACAAGCAGCGGTAGAAGACAAGCAAAGTCAGGGACAAACAAGGTAGGCCGAGGCAGAGACGTGGGAACTCGTGAATTGGAGCTTTGCTCGTTGGCCATGGAGACAGCAAGGACTAGTAGAGGCAGACACAAGCAATCAAGAGAAGTAAAAGCAATGGCCGGGGAGGATGGATGGGGATGGACGAGAAGACTTTGCAATTGCAGAGAAATGCAGAGCCACGATGAGAACGAGACGGTGATCAATAACAAAGCCAGGCGAGTACACTGTACGCCGAAAAAAAATAAACGAAACTGCTGCGCTCTCTTTCTTGTTAGTTCGTGCTTAACAAAATAAACCCATGACTATATACATATATATGTATATCGTTCTATTTATTAATGATTTTATTTTATTTATAAAAGTTGCTTTTCCCGCTTAATCTAACGGAATAAACCATTTGCCATTTACTTGCTAGAATCGTTATCGGACACTCCTAAATGTTTCTACGCACTGCGTAATTTAACTTGGGCGTTTATTTGAGTCCGCGAAACTAAGTCACATAGGATTCGCTTATCGCCTCAAGTACGTTTTAAATCAAAAAACCCGAGAACTCGTTTCGGAAATTTTTCTTAGGTCTAAATCGCGGTGCTAAACAAGCTCGTAACACCGGGGGTGTTACGCTCGGCCCTACGCTTGGCCTTGCCGCCAAGGCGCAGATGCGCCTCATTGCATTGGCATCAGAAATAGGAATTGATAAGAAGACCAGGATTCCATGGCTGGAACGACGACGGCGAGGCGACCGCGTGGTGTTCACGGAGTACGATGCCATAGAGCGGCGGTGCAGAGCCAACAAGCTCGGCAAGTGGGGCTCCAATCTCTGTAAGCTCAGTAGTCCTGATATATGTAAAGCATCCCGTTGGGGCCAGCGCCCACGATGAGGCTCTATCTGGGACACTGCTCGTCAGTGGTGGATTGGGTGCGGTGCTGGCGTTCCGACCACGCAGCACCATGTTCTGCATCACGCATTACGCTAAAAGCAACAATGTAGTGGCGTGGTGGGAGTGCACACTTCAGATGGTATGGAGGAAAAACGCCATGCCCTACATTGACGAGCTAGAGGTGATAGTAGCGATGTTTGAGGAGAGGTCGACGAGGTGGAGACGAACCACAACTACCATGGGTGTTCATACACTAAACAAAATTTGATCTTTTGACATAAACAATTATTTCTTTTACACCTAAATCTTTAGTCGAATAAAAATTAGTATATGTTTTTTATTAACCCGTTGCAAACACACGAGCAATTTTGCTAGTTTAATATAAAAAAGAGATAAATTATCTCTTGATCAAGAGCTAGTTAAACATCTGTGCCCCAAGGCCAGCTCTAAAACGACCTATATATATGGCTATATAGAGACTACAGCACTAGTTAGTAGTGTGTGTTAGATGTCCGGGAACGGGACAAATATAGGGTATAGTGGAAGGAAGGCGATCAGGAGGGATGCGATGCGAGCGACTCTCCAACCGCCACACCGGAAAGAGCCAAAGCTGACGGCGACATGCATGCTTGCAACACTCACTCACTCACACAGCTCGACCACCAGCAGACTACAGTAACTAACTAGGACTGGTGTGTTGCAGTTTCATGCATGCTAGCTACCAAGAGCAGTGTTCCCAGTACATGCGTACTAGTAAGTAAAAGGCTCCATATGCGAAACATAGTCCGCACCTTAGATTATTCAGTTATGTTAAACTACCATGTAAAATAGCTGTACTAGACATTTGAACCTGCATAAGCACAGAATAAACATTCACACGTATTCCTTCCTACCGGCAACAGAAAAATTTTAACACAACTAAATAAGATGTGACTAAAAATAACTCAATTTATTTAGCAAGTCAATACGCCATATTTGCCTTATTCAGATAGGCAAGTCTAGCAGGGGACAATGCTGCGTACAAACACACACGAAGGATAGGAATTGCACACAAGCATTTTGTCACTCCCGGAGAGAGAGAGAGAAAGAGGGAACCAGGCCAAGTCCAGCCCGCGTCGGTGTCTGTGGGGGAGGGGCGGCGGCGGCGGCGGCGACCACCGACGTGACGCTTCATAGGGAGGCGGCTGCCACGGACCCCCTGGCGCCGCCACCTTGCTTGGCCTCAGCGCTAGGGTTTCGTGGAGCACAGCAGCAGGCGCGGGATGGCGAGAGAAGGCAGCACCGTGGGGTAGAGACGCCGGCGGCCTCTGGCGTGGCCTGCTCGCGCGGAGGAGTCGTCGCCACCGGCCACCCGTCGGGGCATGGACACGGTGGCGCGCCGCAGCCCACGCGCGCCGTCACGTCCCGTTAGCCCCTCGCGCGGTGAGGAGGCGGCGCGGTTCCGGCCGGCAGGAGGCGACGCGAGGAGGAGGAGGAGGATGAAGAGGAGGAGGAGGTAGGGTTTCGTGTACCGCATGCGGAGCGTCTGGAGGAGGCAGCGCCGGGGGCACGCGCGGCGCTACGCCGCCGCTCCGCCCGCGTGCTTTTTTTGCGTTGGGGAGGGAGAGAGAGGGAAGAGGAGAGAGAGAGGAGGGGGAGAGGAGAAATGTGTGGAAGCTGAAGCAGAAATTGGCTGATATATTTGGCTGACCGGATTCGGAGCAGAAGCCTGGGAAGGTACAGAGAAGCTGAGAAGAAGTCGAGAAAGGTAAAGAGAATCAGGAGGAGCAGGTTCCGATAAAATCCGATTGAAAAGATCTAGAGCATGTAATGCGGGATCAAACGGCGGGAAGATATTCGGGCGACGTGGATGCCCTCAGCGCTGGCCAAAGCAAACTGGCTTAATGATAGTAGATGCATAAAGCTGCCACCATGTTTCCAGTTTCATAACGATCACATGTGGTGTTGCAAAGGGCATTACTACAGTACTAGTGCATTACTCGGCCATGTTCTCTGCTCAGCCCACATTGAATTCGATTCACTTCACCGTTTTAAGTCACAGAGAGAGGAGATCAGGTGGTCCAGATCAAATCTTACATTGCAGCATCAGCCGTGGCAGAGGATGAAGTGAACATTCAACGGCCCAATGTTGGGAGTACGTGCTTTTTCTGGGCTGTTTTAGGGCCTTTTTTGGGCTATTTTAGGGCCCGGTTTGGCAGAGACTCCCATTCCTGAGCTTCACTTCTCCATTCTCTGACTAACAGGAGAGTAGGGTTGATTGTCTAATGGAGTGATTTTAATAGGAGAGTAGTGTGGAAAGCAAGTAAGAGCATCTCTAAAAGTTCCCTAAATATTTCTTTTAAAAAGTTTATATTTATCAACTCCTAAAATGGTTTTAGAAGAAAAATTATCTCCAATAATTCATAATATTTGAGTTTAAAACTATCAAATGCCGGTGCCATCTGACGAGAGATAATCGATGATCCTTACATTGGGTTGCTAGCAACTACTACTTATCCGTCATCATCCGCAGCAGCGAGCAATGCCGAAGAATTCCTGCGCCGGCGGCTACGAGATCCAAGCCAGCGGCATCAACTACCGCATCACCGTCTCCAGCCGACCACACCCTCCTCTCAAGGTCTGGAGCAGGTCAGACGACGACGTCCATGTCCAAGACCACCAGGACCACCACAGCGTCCGCCATGTGCTCAGGGACGTCTCCTGCCGCACGCGCCCCGGCGAGCTGCTCGCCATCGTTGGCCCCAGCGGCGCCGGCAAGTCCACCCTGCTCGAGATCCTCGCTGGCCGCCTCTCCCCGTCCCCGCAGCACGACCTCCTCCTCCCTCGACGGCGCCGCCGCCCACAGCGCCGACCTCTGCCGCGTCTCCGGCTACGTCACCCAACAGGACGTACTCTTCCCGCTGTTCACCGTGCGCGAGACGCTGCTCTTCAGCGCGCGCCTCCGCCTAGGCGCGCGCCTGCTGGCAACAGCAACGCCGCCTCCAAGAAGCGCCCCTCGGGGAACCGCGCCGCCGTCAGGAAGTACCGTGAGAAGAAGAAGGCCCACACCGCGTCGCTGGAGGAGGTGGTCCACCTCCGGGCGCTCAACCAGCAGCTCATGAAGAAGCTCCAGAGCCACGCTGCGCTCGAGGCCGAGGTGGCCAGGCCTCGCTGCCTGCTCGTCGACATCAGGGGTAGGATCGAGGGGGAGATTGGCGCGTTTCCCTATCAGAGGCCGGCAGGAAGGACTCCGCGGGAACGGTGTCTCCACGCGTGGCTTCATCCGCGTAAAGTTACACGGAAGGAGAGATTTTCAAATCCTAAAAGGTTGTGAGTAAATATTAAAAGTTGTTGAAAATAGTTTTTTCCCTATCTTTCTAAAAAATAAAGATTAGGAGAATGTTTAGGGATCTCTTAGAGATGCTCTAAGAATCGATCCTAGAGTGATTCTAGTCGTGATTGGACAAACGAGAGCGATTTTTTTTTTAAGCTCCCAGCTCATAGTACAAATAGAGAAGTGACTCCCATCAGTTCCCACCAGAATCAAGTTACATCTCATGTGTTTGATAGGAATCCATTAGAATCTGTTCCAAAGAAGCTATGATTGGAGCTCGGCTAAAATGGCCATAGGAGTGCTACCAGCTCCAGATTCTCCGTGAGAATCACATCAGACAGCCAAACGGGTAAAACACAACTAAATTCTAATAGAGATCTAACCAGAATCGTTTCTCCATTTACATTGCAAGCTGTAGCTAAAAAAACCCCTCCCCCAATTCAATCCCCTTCATAATCGCTCTAGAATCATCACTTATGACGAACTGCTCATCCACCAGAATCAGAAATCACTTTACCAAGCACACCACTGTTCCGTTCGAGTCTCTTACTGGTTATAAACTTAAAAAGGATAGCATATAGGGATGCTAAAGCAAAGCAGTCTAGTGCAAATGTAGCGCGAAAGAAACAAGATACCCACGCGATCATGATGGGTTCACTTGACACCTCTAACATTATCACTGCAGTTCTCAAGCTTCCAGTTCTTCACCCATAACACTGGCAGAACGCGCTTACTAGTTCTAGTACAAGACAATGGGATCAACCATTGGCAAGCGTTCAGATTTAGACCTCTAATGATCATGCTGTGGCAACTTGCAGCAACTGCACAATGATCATCACCCAACTTGCTGACCTTCCTATGCAGATGGCACAGGGCAACTTTGGCGGAGGACGACAAAATGTGGTAAGTTAGTGAGGACACACTTTAACTTTGGGTATGACCCCAAGCTCCTATTCTAACATTATCGCACGGTTCTTCAGCCTTCACATCTCCAGAGCCTGAAAAGGGTCGTCAGTTCGCCAATTAGCTTGTGTGTTACAAACAAGTCTGTAATGCAGAGAAATACACAACAACTAATCTCAAGAGCAAACACAAACATAAGGCACATTTGCATAGATGATAGCAGTATCGCGACTGGTGGATCGATTTACTATGTAATGCAGGGAACAGGGATAAGCGAAGCATACCGGGGAAGCCCGCATCCACCTTCCACCCATCCAGTCACAGTGCAACCTCAGCTGCGCATGCTCGAATTCCATCTCTTCCTTCCAAGGCCTGAAGTAGACCATGCACCTATTCTCACCAAGGACCTTGGATACCACACCAACCCACCACCCATCATTGCAGAAGGCATCGACCTCATCAAGTAGCTCGAATCCATCAGTGACAGGGATATCTGGAGGGCAAGGTCTGATGTGCCGCGCTTCTACAGATTCTTTCAAAGGTTTGGTCTCGTCATCGGCCTTCAGTGTAGCATACTCCACGAGGAACTTGCTGCCGACAGGTTTAACAATAGTCGCCTCGAACCAGGCTCCACGAAAACCTTCATCATCGCTGCAGACTTCAACCTTGACACCTTGTGTAAATTTTAACTTGGCCACATTCTGAAAAAGACAACCAAAGGGCAAAGGGCAACAAAACTGGTTAGTTAGGTACGTAACAGCTGTGCATCATAAGCTTGTAACAAATCTTGTAGTTGCAGAGCATATAGGAAAGCAGATCCTTTCTAGATAACCCAACCTAAGAGGAACATCCAATTATAACTTTGATTGACACTTAGGACACAATAGCAGAACAAACATTGTGTAAATTTTCTTTCAACATAATCTGAAAAGAAGGCATAGAAAATAAATTGGCTAGGCACATTAGTAATCAATAGACATAACACGCAGCAGCTAATCATCATCGTTGTGACTTCTGAGCTTGCAACCCATATTGCAGTTTTCAGCACATACAGGGAAACATATAGTCTAAATTCGCCAACCCCAGATGGCAAGATGAACACCGTAAAGATAACATTGAGTTTTGCTGCTATTTGAATCATAAAGTTATTGATCACAAGTTTGAATTCAGACACAATAATGTCCACAAGCAGTTCGTGTAGCTGTTGTGAATATCTTCTTTTCTTTTTATTCTGACAATAAGCGATATCAATGCTGGCAGCTGCCTATGTTGATTAAACAGCAGCGCAATTGAGACTGCACTAAAGATAATCATACATCTACATGAGGTAGATGATGATTTTTAAATTTCTCTCAGCCACAACCCGAGTGTCGCCAATGAGGTGATTTAGGAAATAGTGCAGCAGTTAAATCTACAAGGGCTACCTTTTAAAAGTAACAACAACACAACAACAACAACAACATAGCCTTTCAGTCCCAAGCAAGTTGGGGTAGGCTAGAGTTGAAACCCACCGAGAGCCCCAAGTCACGGTTCAGGCACTTCAATAGCTGTTTTCCAAGTACTCATATTCAAACATAGATCTTTAGGTATATCTTAAGCTTTCAAATCTCTTTTTATTGCCTCCCCCCATGTCAATTTCGGTCTTCCTCTACCTCTCCTTATATTATTAGCATGGCTTAGGACTCCACAATATATTGGTGCCTCTGAAGGTCTCGTTTGGACATGGCCAAACCACCTCAACCGATGTTGGACAAGCTTTTCTTCAATTGGTGATACCTCTAGGCGATCACGTATATCATCGTTCCGAACTTGGTCCATTCTTGCGTGACCGCAAATCCATCGCAACATACACATTTCTACAACACTCAGTTGTTGAACATGTCAAATCTTTGTAGGCCAACATTCTACTCCATACAACATAGCCGGTCTAATCGCAGTTCTATAGAACTTGCCTTTTAGCTTTTGTGGTACCCTCTTGTCATAGAGAATACCAGATGCTTGTCGCCACTTGATCCACGCTGCTTTGATTCTATGGCTAACGTTCGCATCAATATCTCCATCCCTCTGTAGCATCGATCCTAGATACCGAAAGTTATCCTTCTTATGCACTACTTGACCTTCCAAACTCACATCTCCTCCTCCTATACAACTCCGCCAAAGTCGCATCTCATGTATTCGGTTTTAGTTCTGCTCAATCTAAAACCTTTAGACTCAAGGGTCTGCCACCATAACTCTAGTTTTCTATTTACTCTCGCCTGGCTTTCGTCCACTAACACTACATCATCAACGAACAACATACACCAAGGGATATCCCCTTGTATGTTCCTGGTAACCTCATCCATTACCGAGGCAAAGAGATACGGGCTTAAGGCTGACCCTTGAAGAAGTCCAATTTTAATCGGGAAGTAATATGTGTTACCATCGTTTGTTCGAACACTAGTCACAGCATTGTGGTAGAGAGCAGCTGACATTGACATAGGGTGGAAACACTTCTGTAGTATGTTCTTGAGTTAGGAGTACAACTAACAATTGGCATCACAAAATTTGAAGTCTTCAGATGCCACTTAGATGGCATCAGACTAGCAGATTGAAGAGCAAGGAATCTACACATCGTAGAAGGTTAAAAGGCTAAATCTATTTGCTATTCTTACAAAGGTAAGAGAAGAACGTGCATTCTGAAAGTCTTTCCCACAGTCGGCGGCAACCTCTGCTCCTCGGCCGTTCAAGCGGCTGACGCCTGCCAAGATGGTCGATCGCCGCAAGCTCGGCCTCAGCTACAACTGCGACGAACCGTACGTCCGCGGCCACAAATGCCCCCCACCTCTTCTACCTCGAGGTCTCGGATTATATCGTTGAGGAGCCCGAGGATGACACACCCGCTGACACCGCGGCGGCTGCCCCAGCCGAGCCTGCCGCCTTCGACCCCGAGACGCTGATGATCTCGCTCTCAGCTATCACGGGGATTCACACTGAGGACAAGATGCAGCTGCGCATACAGGTGGGAGCACAGGAGTTCACGGCCCTCCTCGATTCGGGATCGATGCACAACTTCATCAGCTCCACGGCGGCGCACTGGGCCAAGCTCCAGTTCCATGACAGCCACGGCGCCCATGTTGTGGTGGCCAACGGCGACCGCGTGGTGTGCCGTGGCCTTGCCCGCGACGTCGCCATCCGCATCGGCGAGGAACACTTCACGCTGGACTGCTACTCGATCCCCCTGGACTGCTACGACATGGTCCTAGGCGTGGCGTTGCTCCGCACACTAGGGCCCATCCTTTGGGACTTTGATGATCTCTGTGGCATTCTGGCACCATGGCCGCCGCGTGCTCTGGAAGGGCATTGGTTCTACTCGCACGGACATCCCGCCGACATGGCGCCTGCACGCCGCCTGCGGTACTGAGCCGGTGCTACTGGAGCGGCTACTCGACTCCTGTGCTGATGTGTTCGCCGCTCGACGGGCCTGCCTCCGGCGTGGCCTTGTGATCACCACATCCACCTCAAGCCGGATGTGGAGCTCGTTGCCGTTCACCCCTACCAATACCCCCAGCTCCAAAAGGACGAGTTGGAGGAGCAGTGTGAGGCTATGCTCCAGCAGGGCATCATCCGGCCTAGCATGTCGCCATTCTCGGCACCAGTGCTGCTCGTCAAGAAACAAGATGCATCATGGCGGTTCTGCGTTGACTACAGGGCGCTCAACGCGGCCACGGTCAAGGACAAGTTTCCTATCCCCGTTGTCAAGGAACTCTTGGACGGGCTCCACGGCGCGAGATTCTTCACAAAGCTTGATCTCCGGTCGGGGTACCACCAGGTCCGCGTTCACCCTGAAGACGTGGCCAAGACGGCGTTTCGCACTCACCATGGCCATTTCGAGTTTTTGGTCATGCCCTTTGGCCTGTCCAATGCGCCGTCGACATTCCAAGCGCTGATGAACTTCGTCCTCAAGCCGTTCCTCGGTCGGTGCATCCTCGTCTTATTCGACGATATTCTCATTTACAGCTCCTCCTAGACCAAGCACCTGCGCACCGTCCTCGACGTCCTCCACGAGCACCAGTTGCACATCAAGCGCTCCAAGTGCGCCTTCGCCACCACCTCGGTCCACTACTTGGGCCATGTGATCTCGGCAGCAGGCGTCGCCATGGACGAGGACAAGGTGGAGGCCGTGCAGTCCTGCCACAGCCGCGTTCCACCCGGGGCTTGCGCGGGTTACTCGACTTGGCCAGCTACTACAGGCGGTTCATTCAAGATTTTGGCACCATTGACATTGAGCTCCTCAGGAAAGAGGGGTTCTAGTGGACCGACGCCGCCACTACAGCGTTCGCGGCCCTCAAGAGCGCCCTATCCGCGGCTCCAGTCCTCCACCTGCCCGACTTCAGCAAGGAGTTCATGGTGGACTGCGACGCCTCGGGCTCTGGCTTCGGCGCCTCCTTCATCAGGGCGCTGGTCCTCTTGCCTTCTTCAGCAAGCCATTCGCCGCTCGTCATCTCAAGGTCGCCGCGTACGAGCGCGAGCTCATCGGGCTCGTCCGCCATTGGTGCCCCTACCTCTAGGGTCGTGCCTTCATTGTGCGCACCGACCATTACGCGCTGAAGCTCATGTTGGATCAGCGGCTGTCGATGATCCTGCAACACCAATGGATTAGCAAATTATTTGGTTTTGATTTCAGGGTGGAGTTTCGCCCGGGTCGGCTCAACACACGGTGGCAGACGCCTTGTCGCGCCGTGAGGGTGACGACCCGCTCTTATCCGCGCTCTCGGTGCCCACATTCTAGCTCTTCGATGAGCTCCGCCGGGAGCTGGCTACCTTTGACGACCTACGGGCGCGCCGGGATGCCGTGGCCACCCACGGTGACTCGTGGCGCATCCACGACGGCCTCATCATCCACGACGACCGGTGATTCGTTCCGAGCACCTCGATGGTCCTCCCGGACGTGCTGCAGCTCGCCCACACGGTGGGCCGCGAAGGAGTCCAGAAGACGCTCCAACGTCTCCGCACTAAGTTCTTCATCGAGCACGATCGGCGCACCGTCCGCGACTTCGTCCGCTCCAGCGCCACCTGCTAGCGGAACAAGACCGAGGCGCTGCACCCCGCCGGTCCACTTCAGCCGCTGCCGGTGCCCTCCCGCGTTTGGTCCGACATCTCCATGGATTTCGTCGAGGCGCTCCCCAAGGTACATGGCAAGAGCGTCATCCTCACGGTGGTGGACAGGTTCTCGAAGTACGCCCACTTCATTCTGCTGGGCCACCCGTACACGGCGTCCTCCATCGCCCGCGCTTTCTTCCACGACATCGTCCGCTTGCACGGCTTCCCCAACTCGATCGTCAGCGACCGCAACCCCGTGTTCACCAGGAACGTTTGGCGCGATCTCTTCCGGCGGGCCGGTGTCCAGTTGCGGATGAGCACGGCCTTCCACCCGCAAACCGACGGCCAGTCCGAGGCGGTGAACAAGACGATCGCCATGTACCTCCGGTGCATCACCGGTGACCGCCACGCGACTGGCTCGACTAGCTTCCATGGGCGGAGTATTGTTACAATACCTCGTTTCACTCGGCTCTCCGCACTACGCCGTTCATGGTGGTCTACGGTCGCGCACCGCCGGCCCTGCTGCCCTATGAACCGGGTAGCGCTCGCACCGACACCGTCGACATCATGCTGGCCAACCGTGACGAGTTCGTCACGGAGGTACGCGCCCGTTTGCTATAGG